ATGCCCTCCAGCCAGTGCTGGCGGGCTCCAGTCAGGTTGATGGCCAGTGTGGGCCGACTGTTCTCCACCATCATCACTGCCTGGGACAGCAGGTCCTCACTCAGCTGTACCACAACCTGGAGGGAATAAAGCATGGAGTCACAGCCACGCACCAGGGGGGCCAGTGGGCAGGGTTGGGGTTGGAGAGCCTGGCTGGTTGGCCACCTGGCCAGGACCCCCTCCTCTTCCCCCACTTCGGGGCCTAGAAACTTCTGCTTAGAGCCAGCTCCCACCTGACCAGGGCAAAGGCAGCAAGACAGTCTAGGGTCATCAGCTGTGCAGGTGCAGAGAGGCCCTGGGACCGCCCAGCCCGGCATGGGCACACTCACCTCCCCCACACAGCCCTCTTTCTGCATGTATTTGCGCACAATGGACCAGATCTGGCACTTGGTCAGCAGCTGACCCCCTGTGGCCGCCTCAAAGTGCTCATAGGTGCCAAACTTCTCCAGGACAGCCTCGATGATGCCAACTGCCTACACACAGAGGCCACAGCAAGCTGGTCAGGCGAGGGCCATGGGCTGATCGGGTCAGAAGGGAGGGGTATGGGCTACACTCACCTGATGGATGAACTGTCCTGAAGCCTCACAGTATTTCTCTAACACAGCTGTGGGCATGGGTTCCTGGTACTCAAACTGTGGGTTATAGGTGTAATGGGATTGGAAGAACTTGTCCCGCTCACGGTCCATATTGGTGGGTCGTAGGGCCACCAACATGCAAGGACTCTTGCTGGCACCGCTGCCCATGTCCCTTCGAATCTTAGCAATGTGAGGCAAGGAAGCGGCAGGCCTCAGGGTACCCCAACCGGAGTCCCGTCCCCGTCGGGGTGGGGCCTGGCTCTGGGAGCTGCGGCCATGGCGGCCTGCACTATTTACAGAGTGGGTGCTTTCGCTACGACACATGTGGCTCCGGGAACTCAGGTGCAGCTTGGAGAAGGGCTGCCGCTTGGACTGAGGCTGCTGGAGTCCTGAGGGGACAGCAAGAGCAAGGGGCAAGGCCAGGGTCTGAGGCCAGGGGTACAGGGATGGCCCATCTCTCTCAGGGGGCTTCAGCCTAGGTTGCGAAGATGAGGGGCTCGTTGGGGGGCTGGTGGGGGCCTGCTCATACACCTGAGCCCCTGAGTCCAGCACCATTCTGTCCTGATGGTCACATGCAGCCGGGTGGCTCCAGCTCCCCACTGGATCGGCGTCTAAACACACAAAAGGGCATCATGGCATAAGTGGGTGTGGCCAGAAGCTCCACAGGCCCCGTAGCGCTCCAAGCTCCATGCTGCCTGAGCTGGGCCCTTACTGAGCTTGGAGTCTGCTGGTTGGCAGCCAGAGCTCTGAGCAGCTGAACCGTCCCTCTCAGTCCGGTATCTCTTTCTTCTAGTACATTCTCCCAGGCAGGCTAGCGGGGGAGGGGTGAAGAAGGATCTCACACACCCACCTGGATGATGCTTCAATAAGCTCCAAAGAGCAAGGACTGGTCCCTACCCACGCATTTGATCTCTGGGTTCACTCTAAAACTGCTATAGCATAGGCTCAACTACCTTGATAGGCCACAGGGGAAGGGGCCTCAACCTCCCCAAACACACACAGCTTCCTTGCCCATGTGCCCAGCTCTCCTTGCCCACGCTGTCCTACCCGGGGTACCCTTCCTCCACTGGACCATCCATTCAAAGCTGAAATCAGATCTGGTTCTTGGGGAGCAGAGGGGAGCTTCAGCAAATGCAAGCGAACCCCTGGCCCGTATCTGAAGTACTTCTACCTCAGTCCCCTGAGGCTGCTGGGGCTCACAGGACCCCAGGGAGCGTCCCTCCTCTGGCCCCCATCACTGTCTCTCTGTCCCCCGGACTCTTTTTGTGAGCACGAACACAGGCTCTTATTGCTCCCTCTTGCCCAAATCAAATCATCTCTTGAGGCCGCACCTGTCTGGCTCCAGCTCCACAGCTGGTATCTCCCTCTGGCTACACTTCTCTGCAGAACTGGACCTCCAGTCATCTAGACCCAGCCTCCATTCTTTCCTGTTCTCTCTTTTTAAAAGAGTGGCTTATTTATTTGAAAGGCAGAATTACAGACACGTAGAGACAGATCTTCCATCTGCTGGTTCTCTCTCCAAATGGCAACAGCTCAGGGCTAGGCCAAGCTAAAGCCAGGAGCCTAAAATCCCAGCTGGGTCTCCCACATGGGTACAGAGGCCCAAGCATTTGGCCCACCCTCTATTGCTTTCTCAGGCACGTTAGCAGGGAGCTGAGTAAGAAGTGGAGCAGCTGAAACTTACACTGGCACTTTCATGGGATGCTGGGATTATAGGCAACAGCCTAACCCGCTGCACCACAATAGCCCCCTGCTCTATCTTAAATTCACCCCCAACTAGGCATATATCCCCTGTTCTCCTCAAAATAGATTTGACCAAGGCAGCAATATGGCTCAGTGGGTTAGCTGCTGCTTGCCACCCCAGCATCCTGCACTGGAGCGTTGGTTCAACTCCCGCTGCTCCTTTTCCAAATGCAGCTCCCTGGTGTGTGCCTGGGAAAGCAGCAGAAGAAGGCCCAGGTCCTTAGGTGCTGCCTCTCATGTAGGAGACCAGAATGGATTTCTCACTCGTGGCTGAAGCCTGGACCAGCCCCAGCCATTTTGGGAGCAGACCAGTGGGTAGAAAGTCTCTCTTTTTGCTTTTAAAGATTTCTTTATTTTTATTGGCAAGTCAGATTTACACAGAGAAGGAGAAACAGAGGGAAAAGATCTTCCATTCACTGATTCACTGCCCAACAGGCCACAGTGCTGAGCCAATCCAAAGCCAGGAGCCAGAAGCTTCTTCTGGGTGTCCTATGTGGGTGCAGGGTTCTAAGGTTTGCGCTGTTCTCAACTGCTTTCCCAGGCCACAAGCAGGGAGCTGGAAGGAAGTGGAGCAGCTGGGATACAAATCAGTGCTCATATGGGATCCCAGCACGTGCAAGGTAAGGACTTTAGCCACTAGGCTACCGCACCAGGCCCAGAAGATCTCTCTCCCTCCCTCTCTTCTCCCCACTCCCATCACATTACCTTCCAAAGAAATCACTGTTTAAAAAGTTGATCTGTGGACATGGTGCAGTAGCCTAGCAGCTAAAATCATCACCTTGCATGTGCTGGGATCCCATATGGGCACTTAATCATGTCCCAGCAGTCCCACTTCCCATCCAGCTCCCTGCTTGTGGCCTGGAAAAGCAGTCGAGGATGGCCCCAAAACCTTGGGACCCCTGCACCCACGTGGGAGACCCAAAAGACACTCCTGACTTCAAATTGGCTCAGCACCAGCCATTTGGCCACTGGGGGAGTGAATCAGTGAACAGAAAATCTTCCTCTCTGTCTCTCCTATTCTCTGTACATCTGACTTTCCAATAAAAATAAATCTTTAAAAAAAGAAGTTGATCTGTCCAAGGTCACTGCTGATTTCACCTTGACCGGCAGCACCTGCCATGGTCCATCAGTCATCATGAACACCTACTCTCCACACTGCCTGGCCTTTCCAGCAGCCTCCTGCCTAGGTTTCTTACCTCATGGCTGATCCTCCCTGGTCCTCCTTGCCAGCCATCCCTCTCCCTGCAGCATCTAAGCTCTCAAAACTTAACTTTAAAGACTCCAGCTCGGACTCCAGCCGTAAACCGTAGGCCGTCACGGCCAGATTCACTGCAGCATCTTGGCTTAGCAGGTTCTCTGTCTGAGCATCATCGCTCCTCCCCCCACCTGCCCTTTCTCCATGACTGCATGGGCCACTCCCTCTCCTGAACTCTCTCCACCAGGGCCATGCGGTTAGACCAGCCTCCACAGCACACCCCCTGAAAAGTGGACAGCCTCCCCCCTTCCCCACGCCCGCCCCTGTTCTGGCCCTCAGCAGCAGTTCTCATGGTGCAGGGCTTGCTGCATTTCCCTTCCCATGAGTTCTGGGCACCTGATTGTGGGTTCTCCTTCCCAGCGGCCCCAGTTCTGTTTCCCACCCCGCCACTCCCCTCCACTCTGCCCGGGGACTATCTGCTTGGAAAGAGTCCCAGCCTCAGGTTTCAGTCCCCTCAGCTAACTGCACGTCCTGGACTCCTCCCTGGTCTAGGGCCACCTGGACCAGCTCCCCTGCTTTCATTCCACCTACCTCTTTGCAGTGGCCAGAATGAGACTGTTTTGCTTTCACATCTCAGGTCCTTCCGCCAAGATCGGCCCTGCCATCAGCAGCCTGGAGCCAACACTGAACCATTCCTCAGGGCTTGCTGTAGCCGCCCCCCTCAGCGTCTAGAGGGTCCTAGTGTCTCTGCGGCTTTGGGAGCACCCCAGGCCGTCACGGCGGAAGCCTAGGTCCGGGTCCCCCACACCACGACCATCCCCTTAACTCGCGCAGGGAGGGGCGCGTTCGATTCACCTCCCGTCCCAAGCATCCAGTGCAAGATGCAGAATGAATGAAAGCTGGATGGCAGAGGAGGAGCCCGCGCCTACTGGAGGCGGGGCCTGGTGACAACTGAGAGGGTGCGGCCTGCGCCAATGAGAAATCCTGGGAGAAGATAACGTGGCAGGAGAGCCAATGAGAACCGAGAGATAGAGGAGGTTGGTGAACCGCAGCCAATAAGCGACGGAGAACAGAACTGAGGGCGTGCCCAATGGAGGGTGGGGCCAGAAGACAATGGAGCGGGGCTTCTCAGCGCCAGCGGCGCAAAGGACGCACGCCCTCAGGGGCGCGCACGCTCTTAAGGCGAAAGGATTCGCGTCAGCTTCCGCGCGGGCGCGCGCCCGAGACCCCTGAGGAGGTGGGGCCAGGAGACCGGGGCGTGGCCTGCGGGCGCCTGGGACCGCCCCCTTGGCCAGGCCGCGGCTCTGCAGACCCCAGGCTCTTAGAAACGCGAGGGGGCGCACGTGGAGGACTGGAGCCTAGACAGCTTGGAGAGGTGGACGCCCCGGCCTTCACGGGCACTTTTATTTCATCCCCTTCTCCCCAACACACACACACACATACACAGACCCACGCACACGCGCAACAGCCTAGGGGTGGCCGTGGCTAACGTCCGCAGGCAGCCTAACGTCAGGCGCAGGACCCCGAGGGCAGACAGGATGGCGACGAGGGCGTGGGGGCAGGCACGAGGCTGAAGAGTGCCCGGCGGCCACTGGCGGGCGGCGAAGGCGGCGGGCCCGCCTGCAGGGAGCTGAGCGCCGCCTGACGCTGCTCTCGCGTCAGGTCCCCACGCAGGTCCAAGAGCGCCGAGACATGGTCCTCGCTGCAGCGGGAAGACGAGTGAGCTCCCGGCCGCACCTCCCGCACCCCTCCCGGGCTACTCCCGGCTCCCAGCCCCTGAGCACCTCACGTCTGGGAATTGCTGCCGCAGTCCGGCCACCTCGAGGCCGAGCAGCGTGGGGTCCCGGAGGCTCAGCAGCTCTCCAAGCTGCAGCAGCACGGGCGCGCAGTGTGCGCTCTCCTCCAGCTCCTGGGTGCATCGTTGGGGAGTCAGGGGTGGCCCGCGGGGATGGGTCCCCCGCCTATTGAGATGCCCTGCCCCTCTGCCAGCCCGACCAGTTCCTACCAAGCCTAGGAAGAGCTCCCGAAGCTGGGCGGCATCGTGCCGTAAGCGCTCGGCCGCCTGGGCGCGCTCATCCGCACCGCGACACACCAGGCGGCCCTGCATCAGCGCGCGCAGGTACTGTAACACAACGGCGCGCTCGGCCTCGGCCAACAGCAGCTGAGGGGAAGGCGAGGCAAGCGGGTGTTTTGAGGACAGGTCCCCCTCCGACTGCACCGAACTGCCCCTCTCGAGGCCCCCTCCGCCAACGCACCTGGACCTCGGGGCTCCGCACGTGCCCGAATTCCCCACAGAAACGTGCTGTGCGCTCACAGACACCATCCAGCAGCTCAGAGCTCGACAGCCACTGGCGAGAGGGCAGAGCCGCAAACAGGGGCTGCAGATGGTGTGGGGGTCAAAACGCGCATGGAAAAATACTGACCCAAGTCCCCAAGACGCGGAAGCTTCCCTCAGAGAACCTCTTGCACACACACACACCCTTCCATCCTAACTCCGACGCCAAAGGAAGCCTTACCTGAAGCTCCAGCAGCAACGCTTCCAACACCAGGCGACAGATCCTCCTCTGCAGCTCGTCTAGCGCGGCCTCGACTGGGGCCAGGGCTCCCGGGGCCGCCACTTCGGGCTGCAGCACCGACACCGAGGACCTGGACCGACAGAAAAGTTGGCTTCAGGACCAGGGCCAAGGCCTCCCCACCCCGGACTCAGCCCTCCGCAGACCGGCCACTCGGACGCCCCCTTATGGCGGAGGCGAGAACCGCGGCTCCTGAAGCTGGGGAAATGCTGGGCAAGCGATTGGAGGGTTCCCTCGGTGGCCTTGAGCAAGTTACTCTGTTTCCCTGCCCCTGCCTGTCACTGGGAGGGTGTTCGTCTGGGCCAGGAAGGGAGTGAAAAGTCGTAACTGTCCTCCCTGCTCTCCTACAACAGGAAGAGAGCTTGCATTGTTCACAGCTGTAACCTGGATGCGTAGGTGGCAGGGAAGAAGGGATTGATAACTAGTTGCACAATGAATTGAATAATGGGCACCTCTGTGGGGCTCTGGGCTACATCCTCCATCTCCATTATCTCCTGTGATTCTCAGAATGTTCCATTCCTGCCCACGGAATGTTGGCTAGCAAAAAGCAGATGCGGTTGTAGTCCACCTCACCGGGACTCACACAGGCAGCCAGCCAGGGTAGAACTGGAGCTGCAGGGTTATGTGGATCTGAAACTCTAGAGTGGGAGAGCAGGAGTGGGCAGGGGGCATCCACAGACAGGGGGTACTAGGTAGTAGGTTAGGAGAGGTGGGTTGGAGGGAACGAGGAGCTCCCAATTACCTGAGTGCTGACTGGTGGTTGAGGGCAGCAAGGAGGTAGGACACATACTGAGGGGCCGTGGCTTCTCCCCTGAGGTGGTCCCGGGAGAACCGGATGAGGGCATCACTGAAGCTGCAGTGGACAGAGGTGATGCTGGCACCTGCTGCTGGCTCTAGTGCCCTCAAGACCCCTGGCCTGGGCACTCTGGCCTCTCTGTAATACCCAAGTCCTTTTTCCCAAGGAAGCCCTCTCCCACCGGTGTTTCTTTCAATCTGCAGAGCGCCGTCCCCCCACCACCACCTTTAGACTTCCCTGGGGGACAAGGCCTGGCCTGGGCACACCTCCGGAGGAATGCGCCCATCTCTGCCAGTGCCATGCTGTGCACCTGCCACTGCAGTGACTCACTGACCAGGCTGGCTACTCGAATGTTCTCGTCCAGGATCTACGAGCAGGGATGAGCAGCTGTCAGCAGCCACCCCTCGCCCTGGTCTCCTTCCCATCCCTGGCTCCTTCCTCCTCACCTGTAGCACAATGGCTGGCATTGGGGAGTGGTAGAAGCCAGATGGGTCAGTGTTGGGCTCCTGCTCCCGGTGCCACTCAGCTACCTCCCCATCCAGTGCCTTCTGCAGCCACTGAGTTACACTTGCCTGGGAGAAAGGGGCAAGGAATGTCAGGATGAACAGAGCACTGACCAACCGACTGTGCCACACACAGATACTCCTCCCACCAGGGGCCCCCGCTGCACACCTGAACTTGGGCCACGAATGTTGCCTCCAGCTGCTCAATGTTCTCAGAAGTCAGAAGGGGCTCAAACTGGGACATATCAGCCTCAGGTCCCAGCTCCAGGCTCCCCATCATTTCCTGCCTGGAGACAGCTGTCAGGAAGAGCCCACAGCCTTTGCTCTAGCCCCACCCCCGTCAGCCACTAGGACACTGACCCCAGGTACACGTGCAGGGCCCAGTGCAGCAGGGCGAAGGCATCTGCAGCTCCCAGCTCCGGGCCCGCAAGGAGCTGCTGCAAGCTGCAGCGCAGTCCATTGTGCAGCGTGCGGGCCCACAGCTGGAGCACGTTGTAGTGCAGAGGGCAGCAGGGGGCCACCAGCGCCTCTGCTGTGGCCAGCTCAGCAGGCAGGGCCACCCGCAGGGCCTCCAGCCACCCTGCCAGGGCCCCTGGTCCAGGCAACATAGATGGTGCAAAGTAGAGCTGCTCCAGGCCGTGCTGGAGTGCCTGCAGAAAGCGCTGCCGCCAGTCCCGGGGGGCCTGCCCCAGGCAGGCTGTACGTCCAGCCTCTCCCTCTGCTACCCGCACAGCGGCCACCAGCAGGGCTGGGTTCTCCTTTGCCAGCTGTCCTGCAGCCCCTGCAGCGGCTTCCACAGCCTGGCCAAGAGCTTCAGCCAGAGAGCCCAGTCCTTGGAAAACTGGCAAGTCCAGGCCCCCCAGGGGCATCCACGTCTCCTCCTGCAGCTGCTCCAGCTCCCGCAGGTTCACATATGCCTCCAAGAGCTGCTGGCTGTCAATCAGGCTCTGTGTGTGGACCACCGCAGCTGGCACTAGCAAGAGAGAAGAGAGGGTAGCTCTGGGTGTCACCTCCTACCTGAGGCACAGGTGAAGTACAAAACAGTTCATAACCAAGGTGCTGTGGTACAGTGGGCTAAGCCTCTGCTGGCAATACCTGTATCACATATCACAGGCCTGAATGCTGTTTCCAATCTAAATTCCCTGCCAACGTGCCTGGGAAGCAGCAACTGATGGCTGAAGGATTTGAGGCTCCACCAGCCCATGGGGAAAAGTTCCTGGCTGCTGGCTTCAAGCCCAGTCCAGCACCAGCTGTGGCAGCCATTTGAGGAGGGAGCCAGCAGACGGAAGATATCACTACAACTCTCTCTTTGTTTCCCTGTCTGCATTACTCTGCCTTTTGAATAAATAAATCTGCAAAAAACCAAAAATCTTCTAGCTTTCAGTAGAGAAGTGCAATGGTCAGCGTGAAAGGAAGCCTATTGAGTCAGGTGTCAACCTTGGAACAATGAGACACAAAGCAGAGGAGGGTCATGAGGGACAGCAGGGAGGAACTGGGAGGCCATGCTCGTGACTGGCCACCCATCCTGCCAGGAAGCATGTGCATTAACAACCAGGGTGGGCCTGGCATCGTGGCACTGTGCATTACTGCCATCCGCAATGCTAGCATCCTATAGGAAAATTGGTTCGAGTCCTGGCTGCTTTGTTTCCCATCAGCTCCCTGCTGCTTATGCATTGGAGAAGGCCCCAAGTCGTTGAGTCCCTGCCACCTACGTGGGCGGTCCAGATGGAGTTCTAGGCTCCCAACCTTGGCCTGGCCCAGCCCCAACCATTGTGATCATTTGGGGAGAGATGATCTATCTCTCCCTCTCTGAAACTCTGCCTTTCAAACAAACAAACAAAAATAACAAATCTTAAAACACACACACACACATACAATACCATGGAGCCCTTTCGGTACTTGTCTTGAATCCAATGTCCCATTCTTGGAAACCCCAGTATGAGCTAATCCTGCAGCCTGTGTCCTGTGCCTCCTGCAGTCTAGGTTACTATCTAGGAGAGGCCTGGTTGGCCCATCCATGCAACCCCTACCTCAGGCCAAGACTCTTAGTCAGTGACATTGGTGTGTGTGGACCCACTGTTGTAAGCTGAGACACAGGGTCCCTGAACACTCACCTGCCTGCAGCCGGGGCAACAACTGTGACAGGGCCTGCAGCTGCCTGTGTTGGGAGACCTGCTCCCGCAGGGGCTCCAGGGCCTGGGAGGCTCGGGCCAAGTCCTGCAGCAGCCCATGGGCCTGGTTCAGGGCCTCCCGTGTTCCTTGTACCGCCTCCAAGGCCCGGTTTAGCTGCCACACACCAGTCTGCACACCTTCAAGGTACGACTGTACCATTGTCTGTGGAAGAGAGGCCCGTGAGGTGTGGCCAGCCCCGTGGCCCACCCCTAGCACTGCTGCCATCCTGCCCCTGCCCACCTTTAGGCGTGCTTCCAGGGAACAGGTGCGCTGCACCTCGCGGCTGCGGTACTGGCCCAGCCTGGCCAGCTGCTCTGGCCGATAGAAGATGCCCGAGGCCCACTTGAGTGCTGCACCCCGGGCCAGCTGTTCCGCTCTCTCCTGCTCTGGCCACTCCGGCCCTGGGCAGGAAGAGCCTGGGTAATTGAGTTAATGAGGGAGAGCCTGCAGAAAGTGGCTGCTGGACCTGTGGCTCAGCCACTGCCCAGGATGGATGGATACAGCACGCCCCTCACTGCCCACCCGCCCGCCTGAGCTTCGATCAGAGCTGGCAGGGAGGGCTCAACCCCACCACCACCTTCCCACCCTCCTGCTCCCAGTCTCCCCAGTGGGGATCCTACCTGGGGGAAGGGCCGGCTGCATTTCGTCCTTGACCACTGAGTCCATGGAAGGCGTGAGATGACTTAGGAGGAGGCACAAGGGTCTGGGTTGGAACAGGCAGAGCGCAAGAGTGCTTCGCAGAGGAAGGCTCTGGCTCAGCCCTGTCAGGAAGTCACTGGGAGGCGGGGGTGATGGGGGAGGCACCTGGCAATCCTCTGCCTGCCTACTGGGTTTCTTGGTAAGGGGGCCTCCATTCGTTCTCCTGCTGCAAGGGCCCCAGGACTGAGAACTTACCAGATTTGACCAGACATCCAGGTCTCCCTCTTCTGCGAGCAGCCTTAGCCTTGAGAACTGCCAACTCCTCTGGCCAGCTAAGCATTCGCTCTCCACGCCTGCACGTCTGCCCGCCTGCCTGGTCACTCCAGCCTGCTGGGCACTCACTCCCCACGCCTGCCTGCCTGCCTGATGACTCCAGCCGGCCGGGCATGGAGCAAAAGGCCTCTCCTCAAGGAAGCTTTTCTCCCACTTCCCAGCTGAAGAGCCCCTTCCTCCCACCAGCCAAGCCCCTCCCTCTCCCAGGCAGAAAGGAAGGAAGTGAACCTCTGGCCCTGTATTCCCAACAGGAAAGCACACAGGAACTGGTGGGGTGGGAAGTCTAGGTGCCACTCCCTGGGGCAGTGGGGGAAGGGTATACTCCCTTTGGGGTCCTCCAGTCCTGCCTAGCCCACCCAGACCTCTTGGCATATGTGCTTCCACCCAGGGCAGAAGGACAAAGTGCACAGACTAGGAGCAGACATCACAGGATAATGGCAGGGTGTGTCAGGGGAGGGGGTGTGCAACACAGCTTGTGCCATAGCCATCATCCCAGACGAGTCCCAGCTGCTCTGCTTCTGATCCAGCTCCCTGCTAATGTGCCTGGGGAAGCAGTAAAAGATGGCCCAAGTGCTTGGGTCCCTGCCACCCCAATGGGAGGCCTGGCATGCAGCCATTTAGGGAGTGAGCCAGTAGGTGGACGATCACTCATTCTCTCTCTCTTTCCTTTTTCTCACTGTAATTCTGCCTTTCAAGTAAACAGATAATAAACATTTAAAAATAAAAGAGAGGGCCTGGCACAGCAGCCTACCGGCTAAAGTCCTTACCTTGCACGTGTCGGGATACCAAAGGGGTGCCAGTTCTAATCCCAGCAGCCCCGCTTCCCATCCAGCTCCCCGCTTGTGGCCTGAGAAAACAGTCAAGGATAGCTAAAGGCCTTGAGCCCCTGCATCCGGATATGGGAGACCTGGAAGAGGCTCCTGGCTCTTGGCTTTGGATTTGCACAGCTCTGGCTGTTGTCACTTGGAGGGTGATGTTCCTATGTATCTCTCCTCCTTTCTGTATATCTGACTTTGCAATAAAAATAAATAAATCTTTTTTTTTTTTTTTTTTTTTTAAAGATTTATTTTTATTATTTTTTCATTGGAAAGGCGGATATACAGAGAGGAGATACAGAGAGGAAGATCTTCCATCCGATGATTCACTCCCCAAGTGAGCCGCAACGGGTCGATACTATGCCGATCCGAAGCCAGGAGCCTCTTCCGGGTCTCCCACGCGGGTGCAGGGTCCCAAAGCTTTGGGCCGTCCTCAACTGCCTTCCCAGGCCACAGGCAGGGAGCTGGAAGGGAAGCGGGGCTGCCGGGATTAGAACCGGCGCCCATATGGGATCCCGGGCGTGCAAGGCGAGGACTTAACCACTTGCGCCACCGCGCCGGGCCCAAAAATAAATAAATCTTAAAAAAATAAAAGAAAGAAAGAGAGAGAGAGAGAAAGAACGAGCAAAAGAGAAATCAGACAACTGGTGGGCCCCTCAGGGGAAGGAAAGGCCCAGGCTGCTGCGGAGAGGGTGCTAAACTTGTGAGTTATGGGCACGGGGGGGGGGGGGGGGGGGGGGGCGGGAACCACAGGACAGTAACGATGTGTGCACGTGGTGCAGGAGCCAGATCTGCCCTCAGGATAGACCTGCTCAGGCCTCCGGCTGCAATGGCTGAGATTTCTCAGCTGGCATCTGAAGGCCCAGGTCCCTGGATGTGAGTCACTCAGATGGGCCACCCCAGTCTCCCAGGCTGAGGCCACCATATCTTTTTTTTTTTTTTTTAAGATTTATTTTATTTTTACTGGAAAGTCAGATATATGCAGAGGAGGAGATACAGAATGGAAACTCTTCTGTTTGATGATTCACTCCCTAAGCAACCGCAACGGCACCAATCTGAAATCAGGAACCAGGAGCCTCATCTGGGTCTCCCACATGGTGCAGGGTTCCCAGGCTCTGGGCTTTCCTCGACTGCTTTCCCAGGCCACAAGCAAGGAGCTGGATGGAAAATAGGGCTGCCGGGACAAACCGGTGCCCATCTGGGATCCCGGCGCATACAAGGTGAGGACTTTAGCCCATGTGTACTTGCCATACCCCATCACAGTGTCACAGCATGGCACCCTCAGAAACAGGCAAACCTCTGTCCCAAAGCCTGTTTCCCAGACAACCAGAACCCAAATAGTAACAAATAATGGCTACATGAAAGAAAGTACCAGCAGGTGCTGGATCCTTTCTTCCGGCCGGGTGCTGCTCCAGGACATTCTGGTGTCTGCAGGTGTCTGCTCCTGTGCCTTGCCTGGGACCCTCTGGGAGCGTCAGAGCCTCAGGGCTCCGTGGTGTGGATGTGGAGGTAAGACAAGGAGGAGGTTGGGTCCCCGCTGGGCTGGGCCAGGAGGACAGGCTAGGTTTATCAAGTGGTGTGGTGTCCTTTCTCCCATATTGGGAATTAGTGGCGTTTGGGGACACGTTGACAAGGAAGGTTCCAATGCTTTTCCTCTCTCCACGGCCGGGACTGCCCGCTGACCTCTTCCACATTCATCCCCAGCTAGTATAGTTCACGTGCCCTCCATTCCCTCATGAGGTTGTTTTCGTCTTCTTTCGCGGGTGGAAATTTGCTGATGGTCCCCGAAGTTTTGCGTCCCTCTCCGTAGGTAGGAATTGCCAAGGGTTCCCCAACAGGACGCGAGGCGGAAGCGGAAGTAGCGTGACTCGCTCCGGTGGCCGGGTGGCCGGGGACGGAAGCGGAAGTAGCGGCGGCGCCGGCCTGGTCTGGCTGCGGGGAGGCGGCGGGCGGGCGGGCGCGATGGCTGAGGCCGGGCCGCAGGCGCCGCCGCCCCCGGGCACCCCGAGCCGCCACGAGAAGAGCCTGGGGCTTCTCACCACAAAGTTCGTGTCGCTGCTGCAAGAGGCCAAGGACGGCGTGCTTGACCTCAAGCTGGTGCGGCCGGGGGCATGGGGGACGACCGGAGGCAGGGATGGGCAGCACTACGTCTAGATCGGTAGCCGGGAGCTCCCGGGGCGTCCCCGCGGAGCCGTCCGAGAGCCTCTTGCTTTCTCCCGAGAGGAGGCCGAGGGGAGAGCTGTGTCATTCATTCAGCCGGGACCACTCTTGGGCTGCAGGTGCAGGTCCTCGTGGCCTCCCTGGCTGGCCCGGATGGGGGCAGGGAGAGAGAAGAGTTAGGACCCGGCCTGGTGGCTGTGCCGGATCCCTTTCCAGCCCGCTATCCTCGGCTGCTTAGGGCACGATCAGTGCCGGGACCCAGAGCAGCCCCAGCCAGAATCCGGCGTAGCTGGGGCAAGCCCTTGAGACCAAGACTGAGCATCGTCCCCTCTGTTCTGCCTGCCAGGCAGCCGACACCCTAGCCGTGCGCCAGAAGCGGCGGATTTATGACATCACCAACGTGTTGGAAGGTATTGGGCTGATAGAGAAGAAATCCAAGAATAGCATCCAGTGGAAGTGAGTGGGGAATCCATCTGGGGGCAGGAAGGGCAGCAGGGTCTTCTCCCTGGATTGGGGGAGGGGGGCGGGCTGTGGATGGGCGCAGGGGTTCTCGAGCTGCTGGTGGTTCTCCTAGGGGCGTAGGGCCTGGCTGCAACACCCGGGAGATCGCGGACAAACTGATCGAGCTCAAGGCTGAGATCGAGGAGCTGCAGCAGCGGGAGCAGGAGCTGGACCAGCACAAGGTGTGGGTGCAGCAGAGTGTCCGCAACGTCACGGAGGACATGCAGAACACCTGATATCCTCCGCGGCGTGAGCCTGCTGTAGAGGAGCAGGAGCCTGGCCAGTGCCTGGCCAGTGCCGAGCCTCCAACACCCCGCCCCCCTCCCATGCCTGGCCTATGGACCCCAAGCCCAACAACTTGTTTACTTTGTGGGTCGGTCCTCTGCTGCTGAGGGAGGCTTCTCCGTAGTCTGGCATCTGGCCCCCCAGGCAGCACAACAGCCGTCTTCCTTAACCCTCACACCTTGGCATATGTGACTCACGAAGACATCTGCAGGTGCTTTGCTGGTGAGTGGCGCCTTGGGCAGGGGGCTGGGGCTGCATTGAGCTGATGTCCCTCGGTCCTGTTCCAAGAGAAATGAGTTAAGGAGGAGACTAACTTGGGGGCCAGGGGACTCTAGAGGTCAGCTCTGGGGGTACAAGAATCTTGGGGTGGGTCCCTGAGTTTGCTGCCATCTGTGCTGTCTGCTGCCTGTGGCTTCTTGGGAGAGTTGATGTGTGCGCAGGTGTGTGCACAGCCAAGGACACCTGCTTCCTCTCTGCGGTTAGTTCAGTCATCTTGTGGATGCAGCAGCTGTTCCTTTCCAGTCTCCTCTCAGTCCAGTCCTGGAAGGAACTCTGACCTTGGTCATCACACCTGTACTTAGGGACCACCCCCATCCATGGATGAATACAGTGCCCATAAACAACAGGCAGCCTTTCCAAAACTTCATGGGATTGAACCAAGATGTCCTGGTTTTTGCCGTGGGGCCCGCCAAGAGAGAAAAGCTGTTTCTGTCCCAGCTGCTGTGGAGTGTGGGTGAAGCCAGCTCTATCCCTCAGCATGCTGTCTCCCTTCCATGGGAAGATACCCCGTTTCCATCCCAAGTTGAGTTCATAGGCCCTGACCTAGGTTCCTTGTCATTCTAGGAGACACCCTCCTGGCCATCCGGGCCCCATCAGGTACCAGCCTGGAGGTACCCATTCCAGAGGTGGGTGCCAGGCCAGCCGGGCAGGGTCGATTGAGGGCGGGTGCTGGCTGTGGAGTTTGATAAGTCCCGGGTGGGGCGGTGAGGGGGAGGCCCAGGGTGTGGGGTTATCTAGGGAGGGTGGGCAGCACAGCCTGGATGGGAGAGGACACTGGCCCTGACTCAAGGTCAGGATGGAACCAGCCCTGCTTCCAATGCCACATGTGCTGTATCCCATGCCATCCTCTCCACTCCCCCAGGGCCTCAATGGGCAGAAGAAGTACCAAATCCACTTGAAGAGTGTCAGTGGCCCTATCGAGGTGCTGCTGGTGAATAAAGAGGCGTGGAGTTCACCTCCCGTGGCTGTGCCTGTGCCACCGCCTGAGGATCTGCTCCAGAGTGCCCCTGCTCTGTCTACCCCTCCACCTCTGCCCAAGCCTGCCCCGGCCCAGCCCCAGGAAGTATCACGTCCAAGCAGTCCCCAGTTACCTGTCCCCACCCCTGGCTCTGCCGGCACCGAAGTTCAGGTTGTGGTTGACCCAACAGCTGAGCTCACAGGTGAGACACAATGGACAGCTTTTGGGGCCTGTAATGTACCTGGAGGCTGGGCATCAGGACTGTGGGCCTCCTGGCGATGCAGTCTAGCACAGCCAGGTGCAGTGACCTGCTTCCTGGGGAATGTTCTAGTGAGTGGTGGCCCTGGAGCCGAGAACAAGGACCCTGGGGAGCTCAGCTCCCTCCCGCTGGGCCCGACAGCGCTGGACACTCGGCCCCTGCAGTCTTCGGCTCTGCTAGACTGCAGCAGTAGCAGCAGCAGCAGTAGCAGCAGCTCCAGCTCATCCGGCCTCAACCCTTCTACCTCCTTCGAGCCAATCAAGGCCGACCCCACAGGCGGTGAGTACCTGCTTGCCTCGTGGCAGGGCACACCCAGGCTGGGATCAGACGCGGTATTAGGCTACGACCCAGCTCTCCTGTCAACCCTATCTGACCCAGAGCTTCCTGCCAACCAGGCCTGGGTGCGCATGTCCAGTGGTTGGTGTTGACATGTCCCTTTTGCCCTTCAGGGCTCACAGATCCCCTTGACCCAAACACCCTGCCTGCCACCCTGCAGATTCCCCCTAAGACCTCATTAACTGACTTGCTCCTCTGTGTGCCCTCTCGCCTCCGTGGTTTCCTTCCTGCAACCCACGCATGGTAGTGGTCTTGTGGTCTTGTGGCTCTTGACTGGCGCCGCAGAGCATACAGCGTTGCTCTTCCTTGCTTTTCCTTCCTGGCTGCAGCCAGCAGCTACTATGTATACTGCTCCTGCCCTCAGAGCAGCACTTGGCTCTCTTGCCTTAACCACTGCTCTTCCATCTCGCATGCTGTGACCCTGAGCCTCTGTTTAGTCTGGAGCTACAGTCAGATTGCCTTGCCTCCCTCTGCAAGCCCAAGAAGCCACATGCCTGTCCCTGCACGCCTAATGGATACTTCATTCCCACATGGCCCCAGCAGTTCATTTACCCCTTCTCTGGAACTTGCTTTTTCGTCACTTTGTATCCTCAGGCCTGCTGCAGTCAGCCAGGCCTCACACCTGGTGTCACTCCAGGTCAATCTTCCTGGCTTCCTCCCTCCCTCACTACCTTCTTCCCTGCCTCCCTCCTTCCTTCCCTTTCTCTCTCCCCTCCCCACTTTGTGGCCACTCACCCCCTCTCCTCACAAGGTCAGCTAGCGAGGCCTGTTCCAGCCTGCTTCTCTCACTCCTCTGGCTCCCTCAGCACTTGGGGAACTCTTGAGCATCTGGAGTCTAGATTCTTGGCATCCTCCTCTATCCTGACTGGTAGAATGAGTGTCCTGAAATGTATGCTAGGTGTGGCCTTTCTTTTTTGCTGGCTGTCTAAGGCCCGGTGGATACATTGTGGGTTTCTGAGCCTGACACAATGATGTCCCTCCTGGTTTCCTCCAGTTTCATTTTCCACATGCCATGCACATCCTGTTAGAGCTTTAGAATGAAGCTGTCACCCTGTAGCACTAACAACCTCTGCCATGTGACTTCACTCTGGGCAGGTGCATAGCCAGGGAGGGGATGGAGAGCCCTCTTCAAGCTCGCATGGTGTGCATTCCAAGGATGGGTGTGTTGCTGCCGGTTGGCAGTACCTAAGTAAGGGTGGACCTGTTACCCGCCATGTGCCTTTGTCGTTGGGCGAGCACTGAGGAATTTGGGGATAGCAGGCAGAGCCAGCCTGGCTGAGTTAGAGCTGTAGCTCTTAAGATGTGTGGAGTTCCAAGGCCAGGGATCTAGGATCCATGGAAGCTAAGGGTTGCTGGGAGGCCAAGCTGGCCCTCAGCGCCTGGAGCTTGCCCTTGTCTTTCAGTCCTGGAACTTCCGAAGGAGCTGTCGGAGATCTTTGATCCCACACGAGGTAGGTGCCCTCCTCCCTGAAGATCTTGTGTTTGTGCCTAGGCCCCAAGGCAAGGGGAAAAACTGCAGTTGGTTGGAGAGGGTCCCTTGCAAGGGTTGTGGTGGGTGGAGAGGTCAGGGGCGGGAGCTGAGATACAACTGAGCTCTCCTTATTTCCAGAATGCATGAGCTCAGAGCTGCTGGAGGAGCTTATGTCCTCAGAAGGTGGGTGACGTAGAAGGTGGCTGTGGATGTGGGTGGGGCAGAGGGCCAGCCAGCTGCTGGGAGCTTTGGCCCAGGTGGGACATCACGTGTCATCTTGGTGCCCTCTGCAGTGTTTGCCCCCCTCCTCCGTCTTTCTCCGCCCCCTGGAGACCACGATTACATCTACAACCTGGACGAGAGCGAAGGTGTTTGTGACCTCTTTGATGTGCCTGTGCTCAACCTCTGACTGACAAGGGATGTGCTGAGTGTGGCTGGGTCCCGGGCTGGCTGACCTGGGGCCTCTGCCCACCCCACCCCCACCCCACCCCACCCCACATAGCTCCTGGCTCCCCCAGGCCCCATCCCCTGCAGATTTGGCCACAGCTCCCACTACTGCACTGGCACCTGTACTGTGCTACACAGCAGGAGAAAGGGATTCCGCTCCCTACGCCATGGCGCCAAGATGATCACTTCTCCTTTTCCAGAACCTTCCCAGCCCTGGCTTTACCGCCACCCAGTGGCATTGGCCTTCTTCCCACTCTGCCTCGGGCAGCTTGTCCAACCCCCTTTGCCCTGCCACCCCCTGGCTCCATGGGAGAGAAGCACCAGTGGTACTGAGTATACCAGCACCCCTCAGAGCCGTCTCTGCTGCTTCCTGCCCACTGCCTAAGGCTCCTCCTTGATCTCCCACTTGCCCCCTCTGGGCCCTGAGTCCTGAGCCCCTGCAGGTGGTGGGTGTTGACAAGAAGGAACAGGGCTCTCTCATTTGGAGCTCTCCTGGTTAGGGCCGAGGACTGACCCAACCTCCTGCTGTCCCATAGCTGCCTCTGCATTTCCACTTACTCTTTTGCCCTCATTTTAGAGCCATTTGCAGAGATTTAGAAAGATTTACAGTAACGAATGGATTCCTATATAAAGATTATTTTTATACTTTTTGCAGCAAAAGGAAATTGTAATATTTGTACAGTGTCCACGTGAATAAAGACCATGCCTAAGGCTATTTCTGACCTGGTTCTTTTGGGGCCCTTCTCTGAAGCTTGGCCGGAGTAGTGGTGGGACTTGGTGGGTCCCCTGGCAACTGCAGGTGGCCGGCAGGGAAGAGGGCCTAGGGCCGCAGCCGGCAGCCGACAGCCGGTCGGCTCCGCCCCACCTGCTGCACCTTGGGGAGGGGCGGGGCCGGCTCCATGGGGCGGGGCGGACCGAGTGCCCTCCCATCCCCGGACTCCAACCCGGAACTAGCCGGGACGCCTTTGGGAAGGCCGCGGCGCTTGGCCAGGAGTGGGAACCCGGACCGTGAGTGCTGTCCGCCGGGGTCAGGTTGCAGATAGAGGGCCGTCCTTGTGCCCTGGGGTCGCAGACCAGGTGCGCCGTCGGTGCCACATTTCCCGGCCTGTGGGCTGTGCTGGGGGCCCGGCTGGACCATGGCTCCCCCGCGGAATGTGGTGAAGATCGCCGTCCAGATGCGTGAGGCCATCCCGCAGCTCATCCAGCTGGATCAGGTCACTCAGCCTGTCCCACCTGTCCACCTTACTGCCTATCTCCAGGTTGCCCCTGTCGGAGCAGCCCAGCCCACCCCCTCCCCCAGGTTCCTCCCCACTCTTGGGCCCCCTGAGTGACTGCTCCACTTGCAGGCAAAGCCCCTGAGCACTGTGCTGAAGGAGCTGTGTGACGCGTGAGTGCTGGCCAGCCAGCTGGGGCCAGGGTGGGGGCAGGGCCCGAGGGAGGTGGCGTCCCTACCTGCCTCACTGAGCCTGGCCTGGGCGGTTGCAGGTGGAGCCTGACTCACTCTGAGCGCTATGCCCTGCAGTTTGCCGATGGGCACAGGAAGTACATCACCGAGACTGTGAGTCCCCACTCCCCCAGCCACTGCCTACATTCTTTGACCCCTGGAGCCCACCTAGCTAGCCCTGATTCTGGCAGACTTGCCACTCCCTGTCTGGAATGGGATCTTTTAAGGACCCCCAAATCCTGACAGCCCAACCCAACTGGCCGGTCTTAAAGGCACCCCTGACTTTGCCTCTCTCTGCTGTCTTCTCCAGAACCGTACGGAGATCAAGAACGGCAGCATCCTGTGTCTCAGCACTGCCCCAGTAACGCCCCTCCCGGCCCACCTTATCCCTCCCTGTCCCCTGCTGGGTCCTGCCCAGTGGTGTCCTACCTCATAGACACTGTCCCCGTGTTCCCACTTCCCTCCCTTCCCTCTGCCCAGCCTTCTCACCTCTGCTCCTGCTTCCACCCCTGCCAGGACCTTGAGGCGGAGCGGCTACTGGGGGCACTGCAGGGTGGGAGCCGTGAGGGGCGCCGGGATGCACTGAGGCACCTCGTCTTGCTAGCCTCTGACTTGACCTTTGCCCGCGAGGTCATCAATCAGGACGGTCTTCAGAGACTTGGCAGCATCATTGAGGATGGGGACGAGTGAGCACAGGCCTGGGGTGGGCTGGGGGCCATGAGGGGCTGGAGGGGCCTGGCCGGCTCCTGCTCAGTCCCAGCTGTCGCCCTCAGCCTCGGGGAGGTGCTGGCCCTTGGACTGAGGGCATTCTTGGAGCTCATGGAGCATGGCGTGGTGTCCTGGGAGACACTCAGCATCCCCTTTGTCGGGAAGGTGGGTTTGCTTTTCCCCGGGCTGCAGGTAGGGTGTGGTAGGACCTGACCTTCCAAGGTGACAGTGGCTCCCATCCACCAGGTGGTAAGCTACGTGAACATGAACCTGATGGATGCCTCAGTGCAGCCCCTGGCCCTTAGGTTGCTGGAGAGTGTGACTTTGAGCAGCCCTGCCCTGGGCCAGCTGGTCAAGAGTGAGGTGCCACTGGATCGACTGCTGGTACACCTGCAGGTGTAAGTCTTTGGACCTGGGAGACAGAGGGCGAGTAGGGAGCTTGCCTGTATGACTGCATCCTCCCCTCTTCTCATCATAGGATGAACCAGCAGCTGCAAACCAAAGCCATGGCATTGCTGACAGCCTTGCTGCAGGGGGCCAACCCTTCAGAACGGAAGGTAAGTGTCCCTCCAGTGGCCAGATGGTGGGTACTGTGTCCTGCCCTGTGGCTCCATCATCTGTGCCCCCTTCCTGCCTCCCTTAGCACATGCTAGACTACCTGTGGCAGAGGAACTTCCGCCAGTTCATCTACAAGGTAGGAAGAACTAGCCAGAGACTGCCCCCTCCTGAACCCTCTCTCCCAGTGAGCCCACACTCACGCCCACGGCCTGCTTGTTCTCCAGAACATCATTCACAGTGCAGCCCCACTAGGAGACGAGATGGCGCATCACCTGTATGTACTTCAGGCCCTCACACTGGGGCTGCTGGAGGCGCGCATGCGCACGCCGCTTGACCCCTACAGCCAGGTGTGTGTGTTTAGTGAGTGAGGAGCAAGGCTTGAGCTTGCCTGGAGTCTAGCATTGGAGCTGTGGTTCTGACCCATCCCCCAACAATGACCCCAGGAGCAGCGGGAGCAGCTGCAGGCCCTGCGCCAGGCTGCCTTTGAGCCGGAGGGGGAGTCCCTGAGTGCTGATCGTCGCCGTTCCCTTTGTGCCCGAGAGTTCCGCAAGTTGGGCTTCACTGTGAGTGACCCCTCCCCAGCTCCCCAGCCCTGCCTCAAGCCAGGGCTGGGGTCCTCCTGAGCTGCCCTATGTCCCCTCCCCACAGAATAGCAACCCAGCCCAGGATTTGGAGCGCGTGCCCCCAGGTCTGTTGGCCTTGGACAACATGCTCTACTTCTCCAGACAGGCACCCAGTGCATACAGCCGGGTCAGTGAGCGGGCAGGGGGCCAACGGCAGGCCACCTCCCTATTTAGGCCGGGTCCCCCCAGGAATTCCCTGCGACTCCATCCCATTCTCTGCTCCTGCCAACCCAGTTTGTGTTGGAGAACAGCAGCCGTGAGGATAGACATGAGTGTCCCTTCGCCCGGAGCAGCATCCAGCTGACAGTGCTGCTGTGTGAGCTGCTGCATGTTGGGGAGCCCTGTGAGTGGGGCAGGGCATGGGGAGTTCGGGGGCCAGGGACGGAAGGGCAGAGAGGGCCAGGGGTTGCATGTCTCTCCTCCCTGAGCCCCTCCTGCCCCCCTGCCCCAGGCTCCGAGACGGCCCAGGACTTCTGGCCCATGTTCTTCAGCCAGGACCACAGCTTCCATGAGCTCTACTGCGTGGCCATCCAACTGCTGAATAAGACCTGGAAGGAGATGCGGGCTACACAGGAGGACTTTGACAAGGTAGGGATGGGAGGGGGGATGGGAGGGAGGCCCAGGGTCAGGGCACAGAGCTGAACTTGGGGTGGCCCCAGGTCATGCAGGTGGTGCGGGAGCAGCTGGCCCGTACACTGGCCCTGAAACCGACCTCCCTGGAGCTCTTCCGAACGAAGGTGAACGCACTCACATACGGGGAGGTGCTGCGGCTGCGGCAGACTGAACGGCTGCATCAGGAGGGCACTCTGGCCCCTCCCATACTGTGAGTGTCCGGATGGGTCCACTGTCACAGCCCCACTTCCTCTGCTGCCCCCATGGGCCACACCCAGATCATTCTGGTCAGTGGTACCCACTCCACCCCAGGGAGCTGAGGGAGAAGCTGAAGCCGGAGCTCATGGGCCTGATTCGCCAGCAGCGTTTGCTCCGCCTCTGTGAGGGGACACTTTTTCGCAAGATCAGCAATCGGCGGCGCCAGGGTCTCTGACTGGCAGAGGAGGGGTAGGTGGGGGGGGTGGGTTGGGGTCCAGATGTCTCTCACCACTCCCTCGCTCCCCTCCACCCCTCTTCCCACAACAGACAAGCTGTGGTTCTGCTGCCTCTCCCCTAACCACAAGGTGCTGCAGTACGGGGACGTGGAGGAGGGTACAGCGCCACCCCCTACAGAGAGCCTGTCTGAGCAACGTAAGGCAGATGGGGCACGGGTTGGATACCTGCTTTCTCCAGATGATCCCATGGCACCCCCAGGAGTCAGCCAGTTTTTTCTGCTCCCCTTCCTTGCAGTCCCTGTGGCTGACATCAGGGGACTCCTGACAGGCAGGGACTGTCCCCATATCCGGGAGAAGGGCTCTGGGAAGCAGAACAAGGTAAGTGTGGTAGGGCCAGGGTCTCCTCCCCACCTCCCTGTCTGCCATGTTCTCTGCTTAGAGCTGTATTCCCTTGCTTCCTCAGGACCTCTATGAGTTGGCTTTCTCCATCAGCTATGACCGTGGGGAGGAGGAGGCGTACCTCAACTTCATTGCACCCTCTAAACGGGAGGTGAGTGTCTGGGCTAGACTGAGCTGGGCAGATGGGCATGGGGTACAGGTGGACAGGCCCTCACAGAGCTGGCTCCATCCCCAGTTCCACCTGTGGATAGATGGGCTGAGTGCCCTTCTGGGCAGCCCCATGGGCAGTGAGCAGACACGGCTGGACCTGGAGCAGCTGCTGACCATGGAGACCAAGCTACGCTTGTTGGAACTCGAGAACGTGCCTATCCCAGAGCAGCCACCCCCTATACCCCCACCGCCCACCAACTTCAACTTCTGTTATGAC